TTGTCCAGCTTTGTGATGCAAGTAATTGCAAAGACCATGGCCTAGATGAGGTGCATGTTAGTCTCCAGACTGATGATATTGCTCGTCAGTACTCAGGACAGGTCCCTGACAGCAGATTTTCCCAATGTAATTCATCTTTTGATTTCTTGGCTGCTGGTACCAAGAGTGCTGATTGTGGAGCCAAGCAAACCAAAGCTGTTAATAATCTCAATCTCTTCACCATCTGTCATAATGCTGCCAATTGGACCAGTGGTGAGAATCTTTATTTTCCATATTGAAGGCTGCAGTCCTTGACATTCTGTAGCAAGTCTGTCAGATCTTCCTCAGTTTTAGAAAGTAGGTTTGTGTCACCTGCATAACTATGTTGCTGATGAGTCTTTGCATAAGAAAAAGAATCAATGTAAATTCATCACCTCAACAAAGCAAATAACAAGAACCACACAATCCTATCAGTTGATACAGGAAAGGCGTTTTGGCAAAAATCCAACAATTCTTCCTCCTTAAAACACTCAGTAAGATAGGAATAGATGCTATTTTCTCCTCACATAGTGAAAAATATATATGCAAAACCAAGAGCCAGTGTCATTCTCAATGGAGAAAGACAAAAGGCATTCTCCATAAGCAACGGCCAGACAAGGTTGTCCACTATCACCACTCCTATTTAATATTGTGCTGAAATTACTGTCTAGGACATTAAGACAAGAGAAGGAAATAAGAGGCATACAAATTAGCAGAGCTGGTAAAGCTGTTGCTATTTACAGATGTTATATTGTACATAGAAACCCCCAAAGACTCACCAAAAATCTGTTATACCTAGTCGACCAATTAGTTACAGAGGCAGGATACAAGATCAATATACAAAATCAGGTGAATTTCTCTATAGCAACAACAAAACCAATGAAAAAGGAAACTAAGAAGGCAGTATCAATTACAAGACTCAACCACAAACTGATTTATGTTGAAATAAACTTAGAGACAGTAAAGACCTTTATAAGAAAAACTACAAAACACTACTACAAGAAACAGTGAGAGACCTAACAAAATGGACAAATACTCTCTGTTCATAAATAGAAGACTAAACATTGTGAAACCGACAATCCTAGCAAGGGCAATGTACACGTTAAATGTAATCTCAAACAGGCATCAACTTCATTTTTTAAAGAAATAAAAAAGGCAATTGGCAAGTTTATTTGGAAAGGAAAGACACCCTGATTAAGCAAAATTCTTCTGAAAAATAAAAATGCACAGCACTCCCTGATCTCAAAACCCACTATATGGCCCTGATAACCAAAATAGCATGGTATTGGTACAGTGATAAGACAAGCAGACCAGTGCAACAGAATTAAAAACTTGTAAAATTAACCCATCTATGGACAATTGATATTTGATAAGAATCAAAACCTATTAAATGGAGAAATGAAAACCTCTTCAACAAATGGTGCAGGCAAAAATGGACATCTACTTGCAGAAAACTGATACAGGATCCAATATCTCACACCAAACACAAAAAACAACTCAAGGTAGATCAGAGACCTAGAGGTAAAGTCCAAAAACTCAAGTACCATAAAAGACAAAATGAGATCAAAGTTACTGACCTATAGCATAAATGGGCTCGCAAGTATAGCCAGAGTGCACAACTAGGAAAGGAAAAAACAATGAATGGAGTTTTCTAAATCTCAAGTCCCTGTGTGCATCAAACTTTCTCTTACAGGGTGAAAAGAAAACCCACAAACTGGAAAAAAAAATTTGGAAATCCAAAATCAACTGGAACAGTAGCTTGAGAGGGAACAGTACATCAATAGGTATTACCAGAAATACAAGTTCGGTTTAGAAGAGGCTGTGGCACTAGGGACATCATTGGCAATGTGATATGGATCTTGGCTGAAAGCAGAGACTACAAGATCAATGTATATCTGTGTTTCATTGACTATGCAAAGGCATTTGACTGTGTGGATCACAACAAATTGTGACTAACCTTGAGAAGAATGGAAATCTCAGAATACCTGATTGTGCTCATGTAAAACCTACACTTGGACCAGGAGGCAGTTGTCAGAACAGAGCAAATAAGCACAGCATGGTTCAATACCAGAAAAGTAGTGTGTCAGGCATGTGTCCTATATCCACAACTTTTCAATCTGTATGCAGAACAGATATTAAGAGGCTGGACTTTATGTGGAGGAATGTGGCATCAGGACTGGAGGAAGACTCATCAACAACCTGAAGCAATCTGCATCTGTTATGCAGATGATACAACCTAACTGAAACTGAGGAGGGCCTAAAGTATCTGCTGCAGGAGGTCAAGGATTGTAATCTGCAATACGGATTAAACGTCAACATAAAAAAAAAAAAAAGATATTCTCACCACTAGGCCAATTGGCAACATCATGAAAGATGGAGAAGAGATTGAGAGTGTTAATAATTTCAGCTTGCTCAATATCATAATCAACACTCTTGGCACCAGCAGTCAGGAAATCAAAAGACAAAGTGCCTTAGTAAAATCTGCTGTCAGAGACCTCTTCAGAGTACTAAAACCCAACTATGCCAATCGGGAGACTAAGATGTACCTGATCCAGGCCATGGTCTTTGAAATTTCTTGCTATGCATAAGAGAACTGGACAATGACCAACAATGACACAAAAAGAATTGATGAATCTGAATGAGGTGTTGGAAACAGAACGAACAGGTCTGTCCTGGAGAGGGTGAAATCAAGTTGTCCCTTGGAGGGAAGGATTTTGAGACTTCTGCCGAAGATTATCCAAAAACGACTTGAACAGCACCTCAACAGAGTATTGCCTGATGTGCAGGCTGGATTTAAAAGGGTCTGTAGCACTAGCTAATGTCTAATGGATCTTGACTGAAAGCAGAGTACCAGAAGAATGTGTTTCATTGACTATGCAAAGGCATTTAACTGTGAGGATCATGACAAACTTTGGCTGACTCTGGGAAGAATGGGAATCCCAGAACACTTGATTGTGCTTATAAGAAACTTAGACCAGGAGGCAGTCATCAGAACAGAGCAAGGAAACACTGCATGGTTCAAAACTGGGAAGGGTGTGCGTCAAAGATATGCCCTATCTCCGTATCTTTTAAATCTATATGCAGAACAGATTATGTGGAAGGCTGAGCTCTATGAAGAGAAGTGTGTCATCAGGATTGGAGGTAGACTGATTAACAATCTGTGTTATGCAGATGACACACCCTGCTTATTGAAACTGAGGAGGACCTGAAGCACTTGCTACAGAGGGTCAAAAACTGCACCCTTCAATATGGATTAAAGTTCAACATCAAGAAAACAAAGAGTCTCACCACTGAGCCGATTGGCAGCATCATGATGGATGGTAAAGAGATTTAGATTGTTGTTGACAGCTTCAGTTTGCTTGGCTTTACAATCAACACTCTTGGTACCAGCAACCAGGAAATGAAAAGACGAACTGCCTTGGGAAAGCCTGCTGTAGAGACCACTCCAAGGTACCGAGGAGCAACGATGTCAGTCTGGAGACTAAGGTGTACCTGATACAGGCCATAGTCTTTGCAATTACTTGCCACGCATCAGATATCTGGACAATGACTAGAGATGATACAAGGAGAGTTGATGCCTTTGAGCTTTGGTGCTAAAGAAGAGTACTACATATACCTGGACTGTTAGGAGAACAAATAAGTTCGTCCAGGAGAGGGTAAAACCAGGTTGCTCCTTGGAGGCAAGAATTCTGAAGCTCTGTCTGACATACTTTTGACATGTTGCAAAGGAAGATCAGTCCTTGGAAAGGGATGTCATGTTTGGGAGTATGGAGGGACACAGCACAAGAGAGAAGACCTTCAGTGACATGGATTGATTTCATCACTGGGGTTATGGGGATAGGTGTGTCTGAGACAATAAGATTGGAAAGGGATAGAGCAGGGTTTAGGGCTGTTGTACACAGGGTCACTATGAGTTGCAGGCGACTGGAGAGCACATAACAGTAACAGCATCAACACGTTATAAAGCAGTTCTGGTGTCTTAGTGATAAAGAATTGTGCTGCTGACCCAAAGACAGGAAGTTCAAATCCACTAGCTGCTTGATTTGAGAAAGATGGGTAAATCTCCTTATGTGTGATTTACTAACTCTGAAAACTTACCAGAGGACAGCTATGTCGGTTCTGACTTGAGAGTAAATAACAAAATGTTACAAAAATCTAAGAGTAAAAGTTGATTATATTCTAGTTTCTCTATTTCTCTAGTTCCTGAATTTTCAATATTGTTAGTGATGTTTTAAATGTAAAACTGTATTTAAGACATCAATGTTCACAGCAGTGTTATTCACCATTGCAAAAACATGGAAACAGCCCAGATGCCAACCACAACCAAATGGATTGAAAAATTGTGGTACTTTCATACAGTGGAATACTATATAGCACTCAGGAGCAACAATTTCAAAAAATGCTACATAACTTGGGAGAAGCTGGAAAGCATTATGCTGAGTGAATTAAGATAGTTCCATAAAGACAAATACTGCGTAAGATCATTGTTGTAAAAATAGAAGGATAACTAGTAAAACATGTAAGGGAACTCAAGGGAGAGAGGAGTGGGAGAGAAGAAGTGAGGACGGGTAGGGGTGAAACCGCAGTTTGGTGGGTGGAAGGAGGAGGGGAGGTAAATGGGAAGGATCCGGGTGCAAAAACAGGGTAATGATGGGCACAGTCCAATGGTGATTAATTTCATAAAACTTAATGTATGAGAATGACTGTACAAAATACAATGTGAATGAAGAACTGTGTGAAACACAAGGTATACAAACTTTGGAGGTAAACCAATTAAAAAACTCCAGAACAATTAAAAACCACCCCTCTCCTGTGGAGATGACATGCTCTTAGAAATCATTTTTAGAAATCTCCATAAAGCAGTACTCCTTTGCCACACAAGAGTAAAAATATATAACTCCCAACCCCCTAAAAAAAACAAAAACAAAAAACTAGTATAAAAAGTTTGTTTAAAAAAAAAATGTCTGATCTGACATACTCACCCCACCTCGCTGTCTTGTTCTGCTCGTAGCATAGCAAGCCATTGTTGTTTATATACAGAAGACAGCCATTCTAAAATTGGAAAAATAAGGAACAACATAAATTATTTAAACATGATGTTAAATTGTACTATTTTTAAACTAAAATCTAACACAGGCACAAATAAAGCAGATGGTTTATAGTTTACAAATATGTTACAACAACACAGCTTATTCATTTTTAAAGTAGTAAATCTTGCTTTTTTTTTTTAGATTACATCTCAATTTTATTTTTTTT